CCATCTCCTTTCTTTATAATGCAACGGTCAACTATTAAATATTCAATATTGATACAATATAATGTTTATTTATTGTAACGTTTGTTTCATTGTTATATTGTATTTGATGGTTATTATTATTGTTGTTGAAACTAAATTTTTAATTGGATTTATGAGGTATTTATGTTTGTTTTTTGAAAACTCTATTTAAACAAATAAAACATTGAAGGAATAAATTGCTAGAATGGATGTATAAATATATAATGATACTGTAAATATATTATTACTCACTTATTTTAGTTATAAGTGTAATGAATATTTATTATTAATTACACACAGACCTCGACAGACGGAATTTTCCATTGTTATTGTATCGTTGCTTGTATATATATTTTTGACTATATATATATATATATATATATATATATTTTAAAGTATAATAAACACGTTTTCATTTAACTAATAAGTTATAATCATTTGTCATCATCAGCCAAATCACTCCTACCCAGAAAAAAAGTCGCCTCGACAATTATCTACGTACAATCACTGCTAATAAACAACTAATTTTTTACTTATAACCTATAAACCTGTCCGCTATTCCTTATAGTTTAAATTAAATAACGACTGCCACAATCTTACCCAGTCTCCCATACATACATGTATTAGGATTTCGGTTATCTAAATCTTATTCTAATAAATATTCGTTTAAAAGGAGTCTGCTATTTAGATTTTTTAACGATTTGATACAAGGATTATTAGTTGGTATTCCTTTCATTATCAGAATGTAAATGCACTTTCACTGTGACGGGGCTCCTCTCATTTTGCATGTCAGGTGAGGCGACATTTGGAAGAAATGTTTAGGGATCGTTGGATTGGTCTGGATGTTCCAATTAAAACATCTCCAAACTTCACAGTATTTGATTAATTGTTAATGGAAGTGGTTAAAATTACGTACTCAGGATGAACAAATTCAACTTTTTAAAAATGGTGCAGTCGTCATTAAAGTAAGATATGAAACCATCAGGAGGGAAACTGTCACCCTTCAAAGATGAAGCCGATAATGTTAAGAAGTCAATGGTGGTATTTTCAAACATTTATTAAAATATTGAAGGAAGTTAATCGACTGTTCTACATATCATGGGTAATAAATATTGAGGACGCAGTCATTATAAGGTTTTATCAATGCCGACGTTTCAACCCAAACATGTGGTTCATCATCAAGGCATGGTTCGAGCACTTGAATATAATCAGTGCTCGAACCAAACCCTAATGATGACCCACATGTTTGGGTTGAAACGTCGGGATTAATAAAAAATTCATAATGTCGGCGTCGTCAATATTTATCACCCATTTATTAAAATAATATGTCGATCACTGAAATTCTAATGGATGATATATCTGTCCTCGGCACTAATGAAGAGGATATTGAGAGACTCGCTCGAACTCTGTTAAAAGAAGCAGAACAAATCGGACTACAAGTCAATGTAGATGAAACAAAATACATGATAGTTAGCCGAAACGCATACCCTAATAACATGATCTGCGTGGACTCTAAGTCATTCCCGAAAGCAGACAGATTCAAATACCTCGGCTCCACAATAACCTCAATAAATGATCAACTAACAGAGATAGACCAGCGAATAACGAGTGCGAACAGATCTTTCTTCTCTCTTTCAAATGTACTGAAACCCAGAAAAATGTCCAGAAATCTAAAAATTAGGGTGTATACCGCCGTGATTAAGCCAGTTCTGCTGTACGGTTGTGAAACCTGGGCACTAACCGGCACACTAGAAGCAAGAATTGAGAGATTCGAAAGAAAAGTTCTACGTAGGATAACAGGACCTATATGGGACCAGAATCTTGACACATGGAGGAGAAGGAACAATAAAGAACTGCTGAAACAAACGGATCAGTCAATATCTCATGACATGAAGGCAAGGAGGTTAAGATGGGCGGAGCATGTAGCTCATAGCAATCCATCAGGACGTCTTTACATAACAATGAATGCCAGAGTACTAGGCAAGATACTACGTGAGAGGCCAAAAACCAGATGGATAGATAGGGTAAACAAAGATACGGCTGAGCTTCATGCAGCAAACTGGAAAGCAGTAGCCCAAGATAGGCAGAGGTGGAGAAGGCTGGTTCAGGTTGCCAAAGATCTACAAGGTCTGTAGAGCCAACCGAAAAAAAATAAATAAAAAAAAAACACTGAATATATTTATAATTCTAATATATTTATAATTTAATATATTAATTTAAAAAATTTTATATATTTATAAAATATTATTTATTTGTGTTTTTTTTTCATTTTTTAATTAGACAAAAAATTTAAACAAATAAAAAGTGGGTAAGAAAATATTATTTTTTAAAATAAATATGTTGGCTACACAACTGGCCGACAAGTCCTGGCCTCTTCAGACAGCTTTCGCCAAATACGACGGTTTTGTATGGCTGTCCTCTTATTCCGAACCTTCAATTTCTTGTTCCAAGAAAATCTACTGTCAATATTTCTTTAGAAAATCATTCATTCCATCAACATCGTAGTTGCTTTTTCCATCAATATTATATTCAAGACCTTTTTTGAGGACAGTGCGGAACTAAAAATTAATTGGATAGTCTAACATTGTATTTAGTAAAGTTATATTGAATTGCACTTTATGAGCACTAGAGATTTGAGGTATAACTTTATTATTATTATTATTGTTATTATGGACCATTTTATCAATCTATTTACGTTCAAATGTGTCTACATAACTCATATGCCTAGAATTGATTAACGATTTTCAAGAGAGCAATAATAAGTTACTTTTCTTCATTTTTCAATTATTCTTCTTGCTAATCCTTAGTAAGTACCTTATTGTTCTATAGCGCTTAAAAGATGTTTATGCCTTTATTGAATTTTCTGAAGAACTCTCTACACTGGCGCTTCTAACGAATTTTAATTTAATTCTTTTATTTTACACTATTTTTTTTTAGTTGGATGGAGATGCTTCTCCGATCTTCATATACCAATAACATTAAATGTTACATAGAATTCATGTTACAGTTAATCATTGGTTAGTTGGCTTGTTTATTCATATATGTGAACCTCACAAATCGAGGGTCTAGAATCCCTATCTTGTGATCCAAGTTATTCAACAGCCATTTCGGAAATATTGTTTCAGTCCAGCTGTTATGTATTTCATTTCCTGCATTGTCAACATTACCTAAATTTCTATTTAACCTGTTATGATGCAATGTGCAAATTAAACGACTGTCTTAAATTCAAATTCCTTCCCTACTGTATCCTTTTCTTTTATAATACTCCACTTATCCCTGTTGAATAAAACCGTTACTTAGGACTCCATCTGGATAAACGTCTTACATGGAATCCTCATACTATACTGAAACTGCTAGAAGTTCTAGGCTACTTCAACACTTACAAGACAAACACTCTAAACTTTGAAATAAATATAAAAGACTCATCTATTTAATTTTTATAATGCCTATTTGGACTTGAATGTGTTGAGATTCGGGGTACCACTAAACCATCCAATTCCTGTAGTATCCAATCCTTACAATCTAAAACCCTTCGCAAAATCCTCAATGCTCCTTACCTTGTCACAAATAAAATTATCCATGACGACCTTAATGTTCAATATGTTGCCGATTTTGCCTAATAGGTCAGTTACCAATTCTTTCATGATTAACTCCAGTCCAATCCGAGCCCACTTGTTTCCAGCCTTGTTTCTTCTACGATTTCTAACAACCCTCCTAGGCGGATAAAAAGATAATGGCCTCAGGATCTTCTAATTGGAATTATAGTTGCTTTCCAAGTATGTACGTACCGTATAACCAATTCACATTTTCTTGTTAAATTTCCAAACAATTCAGTTATAAATTTCAATGAATATTTAAAAACAATAGTGTCGGCTTACGCTGAACACGATAAGCATTTTTCTGTCGTATTAAGTAAATAAAAAAGTAACTAAGTAAATAAAAAAGTAAACGGAAACCTAACTTTGAAAAAATATGACTTCACATTAGCTGGTTTTGTTATTTTAATTTACAATCAGTTCATCACTATCATCCGATTGCGCTATGGTCCTTGTAGAATCTTGGCCTCCTTTATTATTTTCCTCCAAACCGACCTATCTCCGGCAGCCCTTCTCCATCTACCTACACGCAGGCTCCTTAGATCTTTTTCGACATCTTCCAGCCAACGAAGTCTAGGCCTGCCCCTTTTTCTTCTTCCACCTGGATGACCTTCCATCATCATTTTAGGAAGCCTGTCGTGTCCCATTCTTTGCACATGACGCAACCATCTTATCCTTCTTCCCCTCTTTATGTGGATATAATATCTGGGGGTAGTGTTGCCCAAATGCGAGACCAAGACGAGTCTTGGTCTTGCTAATCAAAGAGTCTCGCAGTTACTTATTAGCTTATTACTATACAGATATTACTGTAGTTTTTTAGATATGAGAAACCTAACTAAGCCCGAATGAAAAATTAGAGAAGTTAAATGCAAAAGTATATTGATTATATCAATTATTAACACATAGTAACTAAAATTGTCAAGTATTATTAAATATTTTGCTTTAATTTTTATTTTAAAAATCGATTTTTTTTTACCAGTTCTGGTCTTGGTCTTGCAACAGTTAGGCGCCTTTGGTCTTGGGGCATTATATAGCTTCTTCAGCTCGTCATTTGTCTTGATCCGACAAAGATTTCCTTCTTTGGTTGGGCCATAAACTCTACGATGTATTTTTCTTTCTCACCTGTCCAATAGCTCCTCTTCGTTGAGTGTGAATGTCCAAGACTAACTTCCGTATAACAACTGGTTGAAGGACCGTCTTATATACTCTTATTTTGAGAGCTCTTGGTATAACAAGTCCACAGTGTCCATAGTGTTATATAATTTGTCATAAAAATATCATATGTTTCATCATTTTTTCATTTCATCAAATTAATAATTTTTTATGTAAATTTAATTTTATAATGCACTGAAACGAAATTATATTTTTATTTTCCTTCAGGCTTACATGGTTTTTAAAGGGCACAATAAATCAGAAGATACTTTTAACAGCGCACCCAATGTCCACATCACCAAGTTCCTGAGCAAGCCTAGATCTGGAAATTCACAATACGTAGTCTCAACCAACTCTTCAACTGCCGGTACCGACGTCAAGATCACAGAACAGGATGTATTGGTATATAATTTGTATATTTATGATTTTATTCATAAAAGAATAATTATTAATTTTTACTAACAAAAAATTTAGGAATATTATTCACAAATCGATTTATCAAACTAACAGTTCCACGAACGCTTCGCTAATTTACGTTGTTGGAATTTGCCCACTGTAACGAACACCAATCAAATATTCTGCCGATGAATTTACTACAATTTGTATATACATATACATCATTGCGTATGTGCATGTATTTAATCATGGTCGTTAGTGGTATATCAGTATGCTCGCTTGCAAATAATTAATGGATCGTATGGGTTGTAGTTGTCCGATCTGAGACACCGAACGTTGTACCCATTATTCATTATTAGAACTACATCCCGAACAGAACAGACATTAAATCGTCATCTCTTGAACATAAATAAGTATGTACAAAATTTAACCAAACGAAGTGTTAGTTTTATACGAAGGATGATGAAATCACATTCATATATTTTCCACCTTTTTTTTTTTTTGCCGTAAATACTTGTTCAAACACCTTACAACCGGATATATATATTGTCATTCATAAATATAATTATTATTTAAAAAATGAAGTTTATTATTGGAAACTTAAACCACAAAAACGATATATTAAAATATAATATTGAGAATATAAATATAATAATATTACCTACGTTCAATATCTTACGTAATTGCCTTAATATATCTGGATCCTCGACCTTTTAGCCTAAAATTTTCGAAATGCTATCAAAATCTTTCCAACCATCCACATCTATGACGACTTTATAATTTCTCCATTCCAATAGTTGAAACACCAGTGGCAACTAGCTCTTATTGTAAATATGTAAATTAGAGTCCTGGTCATTGCCAACCAAAGTCCTGAGTGTCTAACGTTAAATAATTATAACAGAGGCGAAATTGGCAGAATTGTTATGACATTCTGTCAAAAGTCTTTTAGTCAAATTCGTTCCTCCTTTAGTTCAGGGAAGTTTAGTCAAGCATTTATGAGGTACAATGAGTGCCCTTATAGGCTAACATGTGTCCATAACAAATATAGAGGAGATAAGTATGTCCAGAATGTCCATTCGAAATAATAACCTCATATCATTTATGGTACCGACTTTCTGCAGGATGGGCCATTATTCAGTTTAGATTCAATTCTATATTTGGCTTAAAACACTATTCAGCTGCTAATTAATTAATGGATATTATATCGACACGTGTATGTACAAAGACACGTGTATGTAGACATAACTACTGCTTGGTTAAATTTATATGAGTGAGAATTTTCAGTCATATGGAACGTTAGGACGCTTTCACGCCCACCAATGTTTGAAACGGTTCCATATGAGCATAAAAGAACTTTTTATCTTACGATTGGTACTAACTAATGCATAGGAATAAATGTCGCTTTTAAAACACTCTTTAATATCCCTTTGTTTATTACCAATTCCTGTTTAGCCCCGTTTTCATATTACTCTAACTATGGTGAGCACAATTGTTTAAAAGTGTAATTGTGCTCGCGCATGTTTTTTCCTTGTTTGTGGCCAATCACAAAGGGGGTTTCCGACAAAGCCTGCGTAAAGCGTCACATAAACACTATTGCTGCTCGACATTTAATCAGATATTTGCATAAATGCTCAGTTTTTTATTTCCAAAATAAAAGTAGTTTAAACCAAATTTGATAATAAAATATTTCGCTGTAACACAACCATATTAAACCTTTCTCGTCGTGCATTAACCAGCATTAGTGTCTAGTTCTCTGCAATGATTAAGGAAGTTTGGTTATCCAATCTCAAGATTTTAAAATTTGACAGTATATGTTAAGTATAATATAAGCATTATATTAAGAGAATAGGATCTATTTGTCCTGCACGTTAGATGTACAAAATTGGGAGTTGCGACACGCGTTATAAAAAAAGTTGGGCGATTTCGTATTATAGGTGCTTCGTTTATTTTATATTTTCAAAACCTTGGTTTTGAATTTATAACCTCGATTTTTTTGTAGTCTTCCTAATTACACAATACATTCATAACACTGCTGGAATACAATACATTCGCTACACTGTGAATAATATTCCAAATTTCCATTTTCATTCATATAGTCAAGTGATAGATAGTAAGTCTCTCCTTCTAGCCTTTTGCACCGCACTTGTCATTATCCCATTTCGAATGAGTCTTAGCTTGTGAATATCAACATACGATAAGATTTCCATAGCAGGAATAAGCGCGTTGATGTAACGAAACCCCTGCTACCGAGTCTTTTGTGGCCTCATTTAGGTAGGCTGGAGTGTAATATTCTCTTTGGCAAACAAAGTTCCTTTCAACCATGTCAAATTCATTAAATTAATGTATATCCACAAGGAACGAGGAATAAGTGCCGATGGAACCACAACGTTAACATAATTTTCTTAAAAGTCCCTATCTTTGTGTGCAATCATGTCTCCTATTTCCAAGAGCATTTCACCTGTTTGTATATCGCGTAAAGGGTAGTTTCACATTGGATATGTTGAAAACATTTTTCGAGAAAGTTGAGGAGTTGGTTAAATCATTTCTTAAAAGCTTTTAATTTCCGCCGTTATTTTTAAAATGTTCTTTAATCCAGATTCAAGGAGATTTATTTTAAATAACTACTCCGATAATATATATGAAATGCTACGATAAAGCCAGTTCTAATATATGGCTGTGAGACCTGGCCACTAACTAGCACCCTAGAAAAAAGAGAGGAAAATCCTCCGCACTATAACCGGAGTGATCTGGGATCAGAGTACTAACACATGGAGAAGAAAAACCAATAAATAACTGCTTACAGAAACTGGTCAATCAATATCCCATGATATGAAGGCATGGAGCTTAAGATGGGAGGGGCATATAGCTCTTAGCAACCCATCTCAAAGCAACTACGTAACAATGAATGCCTCAATAGAAGGCAAAAGACCACGTGGAAGGCAAAAAAGCAGATGGGTAGATACAATCAACAATACTACAACAGAGCTGTGTGCAGATAAATGGAAAGATATAGCCCAATACAGGCAGAGATGGAGCAGGCTTGTTAAGGCGCAAACGATCTACATGGTCTGTAATGCTAAAAAAAAAAAAAAAAAAAAAAAAAAAAAAATATATATATATATATATACAAGGGCTAATGCGCTTGCAATAGGTAACCAAGTTAAGCAATGCCGAGTGTGGTTAGCACTTGGATGGGTGACCGCCCATCAGGGAAAGCCACGCTGCCCGAGATCCCCTCCGGGTATGTTAGACCCGTCAGTCTACTGGAGGCAACTCACACCGACTGGGTGTAGGACTGATGACCCTACCCCCGTGTACTTAAATCGGGAATCGGAATGTGGTCTAGGAGACCACATCTCGCGAACAAAAATTTACATGGTCTGTAGCACCAAACCAAAAAAAATATATATATATATATCCTTTTTAATTCTTACATCAATTACCTTCCTAGTTCAATCCACCATTGTTCATACCATCTATATGCTGATGACTCCCAAATTTATCTTTCCTTTCCGCCCACTGAGTTATTAGAAGCGTTTATGAATATTCAGAAAGACCTAGATAGGATCAGTGCCTGGGCAAGCTTAAATAATTTAAACTTAAACGCATCAAAAACTCAGGCAATTCTTATAGATTCCAACTCCCTCTTTAGATCCATCTCCACCCTTCCTTCCTTGATTATTAATGACCAACCAATCTCCTTCTCCACCTCTGTAAAAAACTTAGGAATTACCATTGATCAAAACCTATCATGGAAACCCCATATTGGTCATATCTCCAGAAGGTCAATTGGTACACTTAAACTATTTCATCGTTCTCGTCAGCATCTCCCACAACCTATCCGCAAGCTCCTCGTTTCCTCATTGATTTTCCCCTACTTTGACTATGGCTGTGTGGTATATGGTGGCCTCTCGTTGGAGCTTGAGGACAGACTGAAGAGAATCATGAACTGTTCTTTAAGATTTGTCTTCGGCACTTCGAGATGGTCTCATGTGTCCCACCTATATTCCGAGTCAAAGTGGCTCTTCCCCTCTTCCCGCCGCCTATACTTCCTTGGAAATTTTTTATATCAAACGATCAACTCCCAGCACCCTTCCTATATCTACTGTCTCCTCAAGCCGAAACCTTTAGTCCACTCAATAAAAACGAGATCCCGTGATTCTGACCTCTATATTCCATCACACAAGACAAAAACCTATGAACGTTCCTTCTTAGCCCGCTCCGTCACCTATTGGAATTCTTTGCCATATAACATCCGTCATGCCTCTTCACTGTCAACCTTCAAATACCTCCTTTTCCAATATCTCCTCACATCCCAAACAGACGATTCGCAACCATAAATTTCATTTTATGAACTGAATTTGTGAGAAGTAAATGGTGGTGCCTACAGTTTAAGTTTTAACATAAAACAGCAATGATTTTTTACTATTATTTTTACTATTTATTTGTATTTCTCTTCACCTCAGGTTGTGCTTTTTCTTTCATGTATATATAAGTTTATATTTTATACTTTTTGTCTCACTGTGTAGCAATATGAGTAAGTACGTATATATAGTTCCTTTTTTACCTTTATACCACAATTATTCCTGAGATTTTATTTTATCTTAGTGTTTGCTTATTATTTTATGAATTACTGTAAATATTATTACATTTTGTATTAAATTATGTTTCTATTAGATAGCTATTATTTATAAATTGTGCAGTTATGTATATATAGATATGTAATTTCTTTTCTGTCTTTTTTTTTTTTTTTATCGTAATAATAAGTAAATTTGGAGAAGATTGTATGTTCATTTATGTATGTATGTATGTGTATGTATGTATATATATGTTTATGTGTGTGTATGTATATATATGTGCTTGTGTTTATATATGTGTATATTTTTTTTTTTTTTTTTATTTCTTAGTGGTTACATACTACTTTTTAAATAATGTATATTACGTTAGTATTTTTTTAAGTTAGTTTTTGGCCAGATTGGTATTTTATTTTGTATTAATTCATCTTTGTTATTCTAAGGGGACTTAGTCCCAGAATAAAGTTCTATTTTCTATTCTATTCTATTCTATATATGTGTGTGTATGAAATTAAGTTTGGGCTTTTTTTAATATTTTCTGCCAACTGGAAGCTATATGATATAGTCAGGTGGCGTAGACCTAAATTTTTGTGTTACTGTTACATCGCGGATAAAAGCACCAAATTTGCTATGAATGTATGTTAGGATTAATGTTCCTGATTGTTGATCGAAAACAATAACACTTGCTGCTATCTGTTCCAAGTTTTCCTCTTGTCCCTTGTTCTCAAACTTTTCATTCTGAAAAGTCTTAATCTTGTCGAAATGTACCCCCTCAAAAATTAAAAAATCTATCAAAATATGCCCCTCTCAAATGGGCAAAATAACCTCCTTCTCGGCATTCCTGCAAATAGCCTATGCTAGCAAAAATTAATTATTTTTTGTTATGTTTGATATAGTTTTGGACAAGTGGCTATTAGCGAGTTTATTTTTATTTAATAATTTGCTTGATATGTTATTAAAATCCGAAAAGTATGGTATGAAAAATCCATAAATCACTTAATGTGAATTCTGTGAGAATTTCGGCAGCAAATCCGTTTCAAAGTTGGAAATTTATGATTCTGTCCAAATATTTTGCTACATAGCCAGGAAGCCTTTTGTTCTATAGAAAAAAAATATATACTAAAAGTCAATGCTTTTAGCCTTCAAATTACTACAAGTAAAGAATATTACTGGAAATTTTATTAAAAAATGTTAAAAGTTTGCTTGTTTATTTTCAAAAATCTCAGTGTCAAATAAATAAGTAAACATTGTTTCTTTGGAACAGTCAAACATTAATTAACAAGCATTAAAATAAAGTCTTTCTCTCAGTAAAGTAACAGTTTTATTCTTAAGATTTTTGCTTTTGTCATGAGCTATAGCACTAAATATTATTTTATTTTTACAGTTAATGGTACATTTGGTACTTATTCTAATATGAAAATTTGTGATTCAGATTCACTCATATAAATATATAGGCTGGATGTTAGTTTTTTAAATTGAATAGCATGTTTTAATTTTTACATTTATGGGGATGAAATGTGCATATGCTAAAACATTTCCATATTAATCCAAATATGTATCAATGATATACAGTCTAAATATTTAATTTATTTAATAGTGATAACCAATTATTATTAATTAAAATGTTTATTTTTATAGGAAGAATTCAAACGTATCTATAGCACACTGGAGATTCTGAAAGATAAAAATATGAGACATGGTAATTCCCATCTTGGTGCAAAGATTAATGCAATGCAGGAAGCTGGTCGTCTGGAAACTACACTAGAAGCAGATGAGAAGCAAGAAAATAGTGACTCAAATGAAGATGTAGGTGGACGTCAGTTGATTAGCGAACCAATTCGGCAAGCTGCTCGTACAGACCGACCTGAAACTGCTGGAAAGATATCAGTACTGTTTGACATGGAAGACAAAAGTAGATTTACTGAAGAGGTGACTGTGTAAATCTGACCAGGTAATATAGTGTTTTGCATAAAACATAAACTTTTATTGATTGATAGTGTATCTCATCAAAATGTGTAATAGGTCTTACTTATTTGTGAGGATATTATTTACATCTACCAGAAAGTAATTTTTATATATTTATCACCTTAAGTTAATTGAAATATATTATTACCAACAAGAGGTCTATCAAAGATTATACTAATTAATTAGAAAAAAACAGTGATTCATGTCTTATCTAATATGGCCTTGTTTAATTTTTAATTTGGTATAACTGCCATTATTGGGTGCCATATTATTTCTTTTTTCAAATATTTCTTACCATGGGTGATAAATATTCAGGACACAGTCATTATAAAGTTTTTATTAGTGCTGACATTTCAACCCAAACATATGGGTCATCATCAGGGCTGAAAATTTGTAAATACAATCAGAAATATAACATTATATGACAGATAATGGTTAATAATGAAAAATGGTTAATAGTGATTGATGATACATGATTTTTTTTTATTATTATTGAAATTCACAACTGTATTAAATAATAAATACAACAAGTAAATACGAAACAAGTAACATTACATATGCAACATGAATAGTAACTACCCATTGGTAGCACTCCAATTATATTTATATATTAGAAGGTTCCTAGGCCATCTTCTTCAGAGGATCTTGTGTAGTTTAGTTAGGTTATTGTTGTGGAATATGCGTATATTTCATGTATCATCAATCACTATATTTTTTATTATTAACCATTATCTGTCGTATAATATTATATCTCTGATTGTATTTAAAAATTTGCAGCCCTGATGATGACCCACATGTTTGGCTTGAAACGTCAGTACTAATAAAAACTTTATAATGACTGCATCTTGAATATTTATCACCCATGCATGCATGTTATGTAGAACAGTCGACTAACTTCCTTCAACAAAACATTTCTTACAATACCATAAATCTCTTTCTTGATAGGTGTTTTACTAATTATGTCTCTTTAATTTACTTAATCTACTTCAACCGATTTTTTGTTCAATTAAACAGTTTTAGGAAAATTATCATTGGCTATGGTGTTAAGTTTATTTGAAAATCTTTTTTTTTATATGCAAAATAACTCAATTGTTCTTTTTGGTTTCAGATTTGAAAATCATTATTCTTATGACCAATTGCAACAGCAGAATACATACAGAAACACTTCTAATATTCTATTGAATAGATGTTTTATGTTTCAATAATTTTTATTATAAACAAAACTACCCTATTTATTTTAAAAATTTTGTCCATTTTTCATTGTTTAGCTCATGAAATGTTGTGATAATGGATTGTTTGAATTTTATGTAAGTACATTTTCATTATAGAATAAGTGTATCATATTGTCTTTCATAATTTGTAGAATATTTTCTAGGTTTATACCAAAAAAAAATAAAATAAATATCTTTGAGTGTAAATATAAATACAGATATATACATCCATATATTTGTGTTTATCCTTGTACACGAGTGTATATGTATATATATATAATATATGTATATACATAAATTCATATATGTATTACATATATTTTGTGTATATGTAAATTTTGAAAAAATATATAAAAAATGAGAAAAAAATTATGGTTATGATTTTCTTTTAATATACTTATAACTGAAAATATTGTGACAATACATGTTGTATTGATCTTTATACTTGTTCTGACTGTATACATTAAATAAAGCATATATCTATTTCATATTGTTTCTGTTATAACCTTAATGGCAAATGTTATAAATAATATTACTAAAATAAGCATAAAGCTAGAAAAGAGACATAAGGCGGTGGAAGTCATTAAAGCCTTTTTTAAAGAAGAGATGAAATAAGATACTAGATTTGTAGGGAGTAACAAGGGATTTGAATACAGCCACTAATAAAATCAATACTTAGATTATTCACTATCTTATAGTTTTGTTCCATTGGACTGATTTATTCTTGGATTTATTAATATTTCCTTTATCAATAAAAACTATTCATAACGTTATAAACGGAAAAATCCAAAATTCAAAGTCATAAGTCTTCAATATACAGTTGAATGTTAACTTATCAAGGTTTCGCCAATTCAAGCATAATCAGGGCAGAAAAAACAAGATCACATATATGCACAAAGGATAAAAGTTATTGCAGTTGACATTTCATGATAATTTATAGAATAAAAAATTAATAAATTCAAAATTATAAATAATAAGTTCAAATTTTTAACATGCTTAATATTATTATACTTTAGTTATTTTTATTTATTTCCCTTGTATTCCTGCTAAACAGTTGTTCAATATAATCCTCCTTAGCTGTGTTAATAGAACCTTCTCTTTCCTTCAGTATGTATTTGGATGGTTTGGTGAGATGCCGACTGCAATAACTTTTATTTTTTCCTTTTTTTTTTTCTTTCTGCATGTATGTAATCTTGTGTTTTTACCTTAACTGCCACTTGAATTGGTGAAAAGTTGGCAAGTTAACTATTCACCTCAATGTGGCTTTGAATTTTGATATTTAATAAGTTATAAATAATTTTTATTGATGACGGAAATATTTATAAATTCAAGAATAAATCAGTCCAATGGAACAAAACTAGAAGGCAGTGACTAATCTAAATATTGATTTTATTAGTGGCTGTATTCAAATCCCTTGTTACCCCACTGATATCACTCCCTACAAATCTAGTATCTTATTTCATCCCTCCTTTAAAAAAGACTTTAATGGCTCCAACCAAATCCATATCCATCCTCGTTTGTAATGCAGATAGTGTTAAGAATAAAATGAATCTACAGCTTTTTTACTAGATACAGATGTTGATGTACCCTTAATTATGAAAACTCGACTGTCCAAAAAACACCTTTTGAAAATATCAAAATACTTAAAATATTGTACTGACCATCCTGACAGTAGAGCATATGCCAGAATCGGTTGTTGTCATTTTATATTAATCCCTCTCTCAACACCTACTCTTATTGCCTACTCATGATTTCCTACAACGCGCCACTTTTATAACCCAAAACTTTCACTTTTCCTGTCACCTTTGCATCAGCATACCCTCCTATCAAAACTATCACCGATGCCTTGTTAATTTTTTTGTTCAACTCCTTAATACATCATTTTAGTGGACTGGGTGTAGACTTAAAATTTTAGCATCAACAATCAGGTTCAGAAATCACAAATTCTCAAGATTAAACATTATTGTTTTCACTCCTGTCTGCACTTCCCAATGTTATAGTCTCCTTCCTCCCTACTCACCTACCTACTGGTCCCCTGATTCTAACCATAATCCCAACATCCTTGATTTCTTCACAGTGGCTTAGATCCCTCAACTATACCATTTCATGAGAGGCCCAGTTAACTAGAAACACTTTTGTCAAATCCTTTCTAATAAAATTGACTGCATAGCAGCATTGAAAACCCCCAGATGACTTTGATAACTCTGTACATTCTTTATCACCTCTATTTAACAAGCAATATGTAGTGCCTCCTCACCAATATATACCACAAGAATTCCTAAAAAAATAAATCACTCAACATCTCCTGAACCTAATTCACATCAAATGTCCCTCAGTGGATTTTCTATACAATTTAGTGGAACAAATAACAATTAGAACAACTTAATTTTTATTTAGTTAAAAGTGATTTGAACTTATTGTTGGTTGGAAAAATATTATTATGATTTAGCAATGTTTTTGTATGCAATCAAAAGGAAAATTCACAATATATATTATTTCTGGTCCCCGATAAACAAAAAAGGAAAAAAGAAACCAAGAAAATTAAAAAAAAATTAGAGTTTGCTAAAAGAACATATACCATTTTTTTTTTAAATTTAAACCTTTACTTTTTAATTTATATTCACACTTAAGTGTATGCCTTAAGATCTTGCTCATAATTTAATTCATCCTCATTCTCTTCACTATTGTTAGGCTTATAGTGTGATTGCTTTTCCATTTTTTTTTTTTTTTTAATTTTTGACCTTTATTTTTTAATTCATATAATCATACACTTAAGTCTGAATAGGAAAAAGAACGTATTATCTACTAATTGTGTTAAAGCTATAAATTTAAAAAAGAATTGCAATGACAAATTTCTTAATTTGTTCAAGCAACTTTAATCATCAATGCTGCCACATGCAATGTTGCTTTTATCTAGGCTCTTTATGAGTTCTTTCTGACAGTTAGTAGGGTCCTAAAGGTAAAGTTTAGTTTGTATATATTCATAGATGATATCACAGCATTTCTGTTGCATTCTATCAATTACTTTTTGATCTATTAAATAAATACAGCTGTCACTGATTTGAGCTGTTTGGCAAGAGGAACGAACAATATTGTAATAATGATTTCTATGGAAAATTATGAGTTGAACTTGGTATATATGTGGTATATATCCTAGGCACTTTCCTTTATCAAGTCATTACCGATCATCGTCCTTCTCATGCCTACAACCTTCTCCAATTTAAGTCCTCAATCCATTCCCTCACTACAAGATCTCGACCCTCTGACCTAAACATCCCTTCTCATAGATCTGCCTCATTCCAAAATTCCTTTATAGCCCGCTCAGTCAACTTTTGGAATTCCCTCCCGATCAAAATTCGACATGCCCCTTCCCTATACACATTCAAAAACCTCCTATTCCAAAAACAGTCAGATACCAGCTAAATATTAATACTATATATGTATTGTGTAGCAATCATATAATCATAATACTTGGTAAGAGATAGTACATACATTTCCTACTATCGACGTAGGAATTTCAATACATACATTTTTTTTATTCAATTATAATTAACTGTTTATTTTTAAATATATATGCAAGTAAAGTTTTTTTTTTTATGAAATGAACTCATTCTATCTCTTTTTCGTTCTTCATTTCTCAAAGTGTATGTTTATGTTGTTCAACCTTTATATATAGTTTTGTTCATAGTTCAAGTGATTCGTTCATAGTTTTAATTGTTTTGTTCATAATTTTAAATGCTCTGTACATAGTCTTATCTTTATTGT